AAAGTGGAAATGAGGACAACCCAAGACAACATGGTGCTGGACTGCTTAAGTAGAAATGAAGAGCATGAATCACACTTATTGGAGCACTATTGAGAGGCTAGCCAGAGACAGACAGAAATAGAGGACCTTTGCTGCTGCCCTATATGCCAGTGGGCGTGAAGGCCAATGATGATGATGATGACAATGACGCATGGTGTCTAGTTTTTTCACGAGGAGAGCGACTCCTGTCGTCTGTTGGTAGGTGAGGAGAATATGGAGACGGCGGTGCAGAAGACAGTGCAGAAGACGGTGAAAAGATTAATAGTTCCAGACTTCATGTTCTCACTGAAGCAGATTTATAGGGCGCTTTCTTCAGTGCTGGAGGGCTAGATGAGACATATGGTGCCTAAGATGCCCATGCTGTTTATTCCTATAATATCTGGTTTCACTTCCTGGACCAATAGCTCTAATTCCTCCATTTTGTTACCTAGGCTCCTCGCATTGGTATACAAACATCTTAATTTTTGCTGATTGGCCTCACTTACATTCTTTACCCAATTTGGCACGGACGTCATACCTCCAATATGACCTATTAGACAGTATACACCCTATCCTTTCTCATGTATATTCTCCTACCCCCAGCTATATCCTTTCTTACTTTGTTTTTCTCCCTCTCGGTGTTAAAATCCGGTGTAGAGATTACCTGGACATCTCCCAGCTGTCTCCCCCAAATTCCTAGTTTAAAGCTCTCTTAATCAGTTGAGCCAGCCTCCATCCTAGAAGTCTATTTCCCTCCCTACTTAGGTGAAGTCCATCCCGAGAGAACAGTCCTCTGTCCATAAATGCCTCCCAGTGACCATACATCCCAAAGCCCTCCTTATAGCACCACTGCCTATCTATTGATCATCATAATCCTGTCACATCTTAGTTGCCCTTCTCTAGGAACAGGCAGAATCCCACTAAAGATCACCTGAGCCTCAATTTCCTTGAGCGTCCTCCCCAGCCTAACACAGTCTCCCTTAATTCGTTCCAGCGAGAATCTAGCCGTATCATTTGTTCCTACATGAAGGATGATCAATGGATTCCTTCCTGCTCCCTTAATAATCCTCTTCAACCTCAGTTCCACATCCCGTATCTTAGCACCTGGCAGACAGCACACCCTTCTATTCTCTGGATCAGCTCTGGTTACAGGCTTATCTATTCTTCTCAATAAGGAGTCCCCAATCACGTAGACCTGACTTTTCCTGGTGACAGTGCAATTCTCTGGTCTATCTCTTGCTTCCTCTGGCTGCAAGTCCTTGCCATCCTGTTTTCCCTTGTAATCCTCTTCAACCCCTCCTGTATCCTTCTGACAGGGGCAGATGACGATTTTGCGGGGCCCAGGGCAGCACAATTTCGTGGGACCCCCCCTTTGCCACGGCGCATGCCTGGGGCTTCTTGAAGTGTGGGATCCGGGGCGGCCGTCCCGCTCGCCCTGCCCTATATCCACCCCTGCCTCCTGAAGCTCATTATTAGTGTTGTCCCCATTAACTTTTCCCCTTTATCTATAGGATTAGCCACTCTTCTCTTCTTCCTTACCCTTCCATCTTCATTATCTACCTGCTGTACCCCTTCTTCATTCTCCAACTCCGCATACCAGTTCTTGAGCTCTATTTTTCCTTCACTGACCCATCTTTTCCTCTGCCTGGTTCTCTTAGTCACATGCTTCCACTGTCCATTTTCTTCGCCAGCAGTCCCCCCCTCTGAGGCCCTTGATCCTGCTTCCATGTGCATATCTAAACTTTCCCCTTCAGCCACATCATGCCTTTGCTCCATCATCTGCTCAAACCCCCTTCTAAACTCGACCAGGGTTTCCACCTGCATCTCCAGTCCTCAGATCTTTTCTTCCATCAGCTCTATCAGACGGCACTTCATGCAAACAAAACTCCTTTCAATATGTACAGTTGTCAAGGACATCCCTTAATTCTCTCGCAGCCAGGGCATTTCTTGTCATGGACAGTTTTTCAATGGTCTGGCCTAGTCAGGTGCATTCAGATGAGTCCCTATACCTCAGTCTCAAACTGTCTTCAGCTTCTGAAGTCACATGGCAGCTTGTACTTTTGTGACAAATCATCCAAGATGATGCCTTCCCTGTCTCTAGGGAGGACTCAAAATAGCTTACTCAGCAAGCAGATGCAGTTTAGACAAACAAGTGTCAGTTCCCCAATAAGTGAAATGCTCCTTAGACTGGTAGCAGGATCATCAGAATGTAGGTGCTGCAGTTCCTTCTTCCAGCTAGTGCCGAGGCATTTCTGTGTTGGGATAGGGGCACACAGTATATATCTTTTACATGTTTCCCCCATGCCTCTTATTCTCAGTGTAATGAACAAGATCAGACAAGAAGCCAGAGGTATCCTAACAGACCTGACACGATTGAGGCAGAGATGGTTTCCTTACCTGTTTCTCCAGTCTCTGTGTCCAGCTATAAATCTTCCATTTATTCCTGATCTCCTCTTGCAGGACAGCAGCCAGCTGCCTCCTACTCTGAGAACGTTCCACCTCAAGATGTGGCTGCTCAATGGTTCATTGGGGAAGAGCCAGCAGACATTGCTCAATGATATAAAAGAGTCTATCAGAAATACTTGCCTTCAAAAATGGAAAAGATTTAGTCATTGGTGCAGCTTCCAGAAACTTGCATCTCACTCTGCCCCTCTTCTGCTAGTTCTGTAATACTTCTTGCATTTAAAGAAATAATCAGGGATTGTCTCAAGGCTCACTGAGGGATTCCACAATGTTTGCTTATTCTCCAACTTCAGGGTTCATGAAAAGATGGGGAAATGTTTTTCCACAGGTGAAAGGCCCTGCTCTGTTTTGGAACCTCAGTTTGGTTCTTAGAAATCACGAAGCTCCCCTTTGAACCAGTAGCATCCTGCTCATTATTAAACTTATCTATGTAAATTGCCTTTACTGTGACTATTACAACAGCCTGAAGGCTGTATGAAATAGGAGTCTTTGCGGCACACCCTCCTTTCACAATATTCTACAAGGACAGGGCTTCCTTACAGTCATATTGCAGATTCCTTCCTAAATTGTCAGTTTCATTTGAATCAGACTATTTGTCTACCTATTTTCTTTCTGAAACCGCCCAATTCTATATTGAAGGCTGTTGTCTGCATTCTGGGTATCTGGAGAGTGCTGGTTTTCTACATAGATAGGACTAAATCATTCAGGAAATCTGAGAGACTTCATTTTGTTTGCAGACAGATATAAAGGATCTGCTATTTCTACCTAAAACTGTCAAAATGGATCTCTGGATATGTTGTTGCTTATTATGTTGCCTCCAGCATTCCGCTCCATGCTAAGATCTCTCCGTTTACATCCATGGGCTCTCCTTAAAAATATGCCTGTATTTTAGATCTGCATGGTCCTTTGTATGTAGCTCTGCCCCAAATGGTGTGTTCCATGTGGCAGTTAGCAAAGCAGTTTTTTCCTTAGTTATGAACTAGATACTGAGGATCCCTTTTTTTGGGAGTAGTGCTTTAGAAGTCCCCTGAAGTGAAGGACCCATACTCAGCTTGTGCAGTAACTATGGTCCGTTGAGAATGTGGCCTTGTGGGTGAGCCACTACCAGTCCAGCTTGCCCTCTGCTTTGGACTTGGCGTCTTGGCAATGGAAAGAACTGAAGGTAGTTCACTCATGTAGCTTTATATAGCTTTAGTGTGGGGCAAAAGGAAGACCAGGGTGTCTCCAAAGTGTTAATGGACACAGAAGCGGCTCAAGGAGACCTGCTGGCAACTGGCGCCCTAAGCGGAATGCACGATCGGCGCCCCCAACTTCATAGCACTTAATGGCATGACATTATCATTGGGTGCCACATTAAAAACAGCACCCTAGGCAACTGCGAAGGTTGCCTACAACCACGGGCCTCCCCTGAATGAACATTACTAATGAAAATTTCCAATAAAAAATATGTGGGGCACACATGCTTCTGAGGTGGAGCATCCATAGGGGGACGTGTATAGAAGAACCACAGTTACTGCACAGGATGACTAATCTTCTCATTTTTAGTATGCTAATCCCGCTCTAATGGAACACTTTATTAACTGCAGTGGGAAATTCTTATACTCATAGGAGACTTATAACATCTCTATGTAACCAAAAGAATGGTAGCTAGAGTTCTTGGATGCTGCTGGTTAAAAAGGCTTTTACAGATGGCAAGGTAAGATAGAAAAATGTTATGCAATGTCTCCTTTTTATAATACTGTATAATGCACCCAATAAATTTTAATTTATAAGAACAATAGGTGGTATCCTAACTCCACAGAAATTAAAGAAAAACTCAATTGACTTCAGTGGTGTCAGACTTTAACCCAACATTTGTGAAATTTACGTGAGCCAAATAGTAAAATTCATATTAAATTTTTATATCTCTCCTCTATATACTTTTATGATTTTACATGAAAACAATTAAAATGAAGACACCATATTAAAATGATTTGTTCCATGTTTGCTTTTGGCTACTCTTCCACTGTGAGAGGTGAAACAGTATGAAAATTTGAATAACATTCAAGTAAAACTCTTAACAAGTGACTATATGTAGTAATAATTAAATCAGCATAACTTTCATGTTAATTGTTCCTCAATGTCATACAGCTCACTTTTCTAACTGCCAGCTCTGCAAGTTGAAATGGGGTCTAAAAGTCAAAATGGCATATTTCTGGCTTACATGCCATCATCTTTCACCTGAAATATAAAGCTAAACATCATAAACAGTAAAGGCTTCAGAATTTTTATTTCTGGTGATGAATGAGGAAGAAAAGAACAATTTACCCCTACTTCTGTATTGGTTCTGTCAGACTTAAGAATATTGTCAATAAAGTAAGCAAATTATATCTTTGAATATAGGTGCTGGGAGCAGGTGTGTTAAGTGAGGAGATGGCATGTCCCTGGAAATAATTCTTCTGATGATGACCACACATTAAAACCCTGATGCTTTATTACTTCATGTAACAAATATCTCTCCTTTTTTTTCTTTTTTTCAGCTCACACTCCAGACAACAGCTTTCTTGGGTTTGTGGTGGAGCAGCATCTGAATTCCAGTGACATTAAACACATTAACGATATCAAAAGGCAGAATCAGTCACTTGTTTATGGCAAAGTAGATAACTTCTGGAAGGTCAGTTGCAGTCTGTTTTTACATCTTTGTCAAATTCATTTTGATCCAGGGGAAAAGATATGCATCTCAAGACTTATCTCTTGAATTTCTAGTAAATTCCTGTGTCTGAAAATAAGCAAAAACTTGAAAGGATTTATTTACTGAGCATTTATGGGGCTTCATAATAAAAGGGGCATCTGCCTAGCTAAAGAGAGAATAGGTCTGAAAATCTCTTCACAATATCTGTCCAATTTACTTTGATTGTAAAAATGCTACAACTTGCAGTAATGTATGTGCCTATGCATACCGATGAAACATAGTGAGACACAATAGAATTCTAAGCATTATAAAGCATTTCCCTTGCTTGGATAAAGGACTTTTTTTATATAGCCAAGTGGGTTATATGCTTGTTCTGTTTTATTTACTGGTGACAAATTAGTTTTTATAGTGCTATCAGACTTATTTGAAGGTGATACAGTAGCTATTAAAAGACATTACAGGGATTTTAAGTGCTGCAGAGGCTTTGCAAACCTGAATGGCCTGTCTTAAGCAACTCTTTTCTAGTGACTTATTCGCCTGTATGCTGCAAAAAGTTTCTTTTATTTGATAGCAGCCTTTTCTATGTTCTGATCATAAGGTTAGCTGAAACCTATTCAGCCTCTCACTTTAAGGCTTTGGAAATGTCCCTTCTCATACCCTCTTGTAAAAAAAAAAAAAAAAAAATAGCTTTGTGCTTATTTGACCTTTATGTTGTGCAGCTGCCCTATCTGGATAAGGTTTTCCACTCCAGAGTCTTGTCTGTTGGCCCCGTAACAGTTCATGTTTTTATCTCTGGAGGTCCCAGGCCAATCGCTGGTGTGTTGTCACAATGGCAGCCATCAAGCATTAGCATTTATGGGGTGTTGTGCCTCTGGCAGTGAACTGAGGACCTGGAGGCAGAGTAGCCTGCCAATATTAGAATGATGTCATCAGTTCCATCATCATAAGAGAACCCACATTCCCTAATGACCTTAATTCCTTTCTGTTACTGCCACTGAGAGTGAAACAGACTCTGAAGTCCACCAGCTAGTTAGACCATCCTCTTATTGCTAGTTTAGTTAATTATTTGTAGTATCATCGGAGTAGATGGGGCCACTTGCCTTTTGTTATCATCTAGGCTGTGTTGGGTACAAAACCCCAGAGGAGCTTCAGACTACTTTGCTTTCCAGAGGCAGGTGAACATATTAAGTGCTCAGGAGAGACTCATGTAGCATCCTGATGCACAATTTATGGAACTTTACTCCTTGGTTGAGGAAGGGCAGATAGTTAAGATGGCAGACATACTTGGCTTCCTTCAGCTTGTATCAGGCCATCTTAAGTAGGGATGTTAACGAGTAATCAGTTGCCTTGTAAACATCACTTTACGGTTGATGCTTAACTGGTAATGGTTATCCAAGTATCCATGGAGCAGCCCCCAACCCATGGCTTGCCATGGGCAGAAGGCTGCTCCAGGCCTACCCCCGCAAGGAAGCAGCACTCAATGCAGAAGCAACACAGCTCTGCCAGCTTCCCATGGGGCTGCTGCTTTTGGCCCCGCACTGGGGAAGCTGCTCCAATCTAGTCGTAGCTCGAGTGTGTGTCCCCGTCTCTCCCGCCTGCCCAAATTTAATCGGTTAACTAGTTAAATGTAAGGTTTCATTGATTAACTAATTAAACAGGATTTTACATGTCTGATCTTAGAACACCTGGGAGTTTCTTTGCATCCTTTGCAAAGAGACCTGAGACTCATTTTGCAGCTCCAGCCTCGGTGCCACGCTCAATGTCAGAACCAAGAGCAGATGCCTGAAGGCAAACATATTGGGGCTCATCCTCCTGTTGGGCACTGCAGGTTTTGCCAAAACAGCCTGTTGTGGCACCATTGTCTTTGTTGGTACCATAAGCTCATTGTGCCTGTGACTTAGGAACCCTTTAATGCCAACTAGCCCAGACCTTATGGCAGGGGTGGGCAGAACTCTTCTATGATATTTAGGGAAGAAATGCAGGGTGTGGGGTGGAGGTTGGGTGCAGAAGGGAGCTTAAGGTTAGAGATTGAGATGCAGGAGCAAGTGTAGAGCCTGGGGGGGTGAGTTTAAGTAAAGGAGGCGGTTGTGACCTTGGGGCGGGGGACTGGAATGCAGGAGAGAGTGCTGGGGTTTGGGTTGTGACTTAGGGCAGGAGAAGGTTGTGACCTGGGGCAGGGTCCAGGAGTGAGTATGGCTGCAGTGGGGAAGACAGAGGGTTTTGGGTTATGTGAGATTGGGGGGAAGTGGCAGGGAAGAAGAGTTGTGGGGGAGGCAGGGTCTAGGATCCCAGAGGCAGGCTCTGGCCAGGAGACTTACCTGAGTGACCCCCAGCCAGCAGCCCACCATATTTCTCAGGCAGGCTCCCTCCCCATCTCGCCACCTAGCCATGACAGGGGTCATGTGCCTCTGTGAATAAGAGCCTGAGGGAGGAAGAGCAGTAGTTCACACGATGCCTGTTCTTCCCATTGGCTGGAAACTGGCCAATGGGATTGTGCTGGGGGTGGGGGCAATGCACAAAGCCTCTCTCTTTCCCCCAGGCTTGCAGCTGTTGATAGACAAATGTCCCCACAGCCACTTTTCTCAGTGGCGTGCGGGAGGCAGGAAGTCTGCCAGCAGCGGGGGGAGGAGGAGGAGAACGGGGACTGGTGGCTCCACAGGAGCCAGTGCTTGCAGAGAGACAGTTTAAAAGAATTAATCCTGTTGGCTTAGGAAGCTGTGATATCCAAACATGCTAAATGATTTAATAGCGTTTCTGATCATGCTTCCCATGAGAATAGCTCTGCTGCGTTAAGCCCATTTAAGAGGACAACATGGCGGGAAAAAAAGATACTTACACAGACTGATAAACACCTTATTGTCCACTTGCCAACTATCCACTATAGTTTATTATTACTGTATCTAATAGGTTATCAGACATTGGTGTATGAGAAAAAGAAAACAGTGTCTCTATGTTGAGGACAAGAGGGATGTTAATCAGGAATCCATTTGTGGGAGTGATCCCTCAATTTGTTAGTCCAAATCCAATCCTTCTGAACCTTGAAATCCTCACTTTAATAAAGTAATTCTTGTTGACTGTAATGGTATATACCTGGCTGATTTTTTTCTGTTTGGTTCTTGACTGAAGAAGGTTTGCATTAGTTTCAGGTTTTTTCTTTTGCATAATGAAGTTTGTATAGTCTGTTCCTTTTTCTCCAGAACATATTTCAGCAGAACAGAAATCCATTAATTTTGAGTCTGTTTTGGCTTAGGTTTTTGTGATTACAGCTCCTGATCTGATTATCAGTACCAGAAGCATAATGGAGTCTCTCAAGAATAGTTGGATCTAATAATCTATACTTCCTGACCTGATTAGTTGTTGGAATAAACAGAATAGCCTGTCAAGTGTAGTCAGATCTAATAAACAAGGCTGTTGCTCAGTTACTTGTAGTTTTATGCATACGTATATTTTCAGTTCTAAAAATATACCCTAAAAGCCCTAAAAAATAGGGTTTTATTCTGTCAACCCTAATCCAACAGCATGTATTAATAATAGTAATAAGGCCAGAAGGAACCATTGTGATCAGGTATCCTCCTGTATAGCCCATAGGATTTCTCTGAATTATTTCCAGTTTGAAGTAGAGCACATCTTTCAGAAAAACATCCAATCTTAATTTGAAAATTTCCAGTGAGGTAGAATTAATAACAATGTTGTTAATTACACTGTTGTTAAATGTATGCCTTATTTCTAGTCTGAATTTGTCTAGCTTCAATGTCAGTCATTGGATCTTGTTATACAGTTGTCTGCTAGATAGAAGAGCAGTCTATTATCAAATTCTGCTCCCCCACTTAATTAGTTACAGATGGGAAAAAAGTCGCCTTTTAACCTTTTCTTTGTTATAAACAAATTGAGCTCTGAGACATTCACTCAAACGTGTTTTCCAGTTCTTTAATCATTCTATTGGCTTTTTTCACTGAATCCTCTCCAATTTTGCAATGTCTCCCTTGCATTGTGGTTACCAGCACTGGACTAGTATTCAAATAGTGATTGCACCACTGCCAACTGTAGCAATTGTATAACCTCATGACTCTTTCTTCATATTCCCTAGTTTATGTATCCAAGGATTGTATTAGGGCTTTGGTCACAGCATTGTATTAAGAGATCATGTGAAGCTCTTTATCCACCAACCTTCTTCCCCCAAGTCTTTTTAAGAATCACTACTTTCCAAGATACCATCCCCAGCATCCTTTAAGCATGGCTTACCACCTTGGATGTCCTAGTTGTATGACTATACATTTGACTGCATTAAAACACATTGCTTACTTGTTAACATGTATTTGTTATCTGATATGCAGACTCTCTTGTGTGCACACACAAAGTCGTCATCTTCTTAAACTCTTGTACTCCGAGTGGAGCATAGGTCATCTACAAGTCCCCTCCACTTCCCTCTGTCTTGAGACAAAACTTCTAGCTGACTCCAGGAGTACCCCAGCTTTTGTTCTTCAGTCTCAGTAGATCATCTCCATGTTGTTCATGGTCTTCCTCTTTTGCATTTTCCTTGGTTCCATGTGAGAGCTTGACGGTCTATGCTGGATTATGGTTACCTGAGAGTGTGACCTAGCCATCCCTACTTTCTTCTCTTGATTTGAACGTCAAGTGGTTCTAGTCCTCCTCAGTTCCAAAGCTCCTCATTTTTGACAAAGTCTTGCCATTTGATGTGAAGGATGTACCTCAGGCATCTGTTTATGAATGTCTGTAGCTTGTGATTTGAAGACTTTTTAGTATGCTAGGTCTCGCATCCATACAAAAGCGCACTCTTCACATTTATGTTGAAGAGTTTCATCTTCACAGATATTATTTGTGAACTCCATATGGTACGAAGAGTCTTGAATGCATGGTCCATTCCTTGTTGTGGTGAGGTGGCTTGTGTGTCTCAGTGACCTGGAGAGCTATGCCAGTGGGAACTACAGCTCCTGGAAGGAATACCCAAACTGGACAGGTCA